TGATGTCGTAGTCGGTGATCGGTTGTGCCACTGGGATCTGATCAGCACTGTTCTGGAGAATTCCGTCGTCGTTTTCTTCATTGTCATACTCGGAATCGAACGACAAGTTTCTGGTCAGCTCCGTGTTTCCATTCAGTTCAAAAGAGTCCGCACCTTGCTGCATTAAAGAACGAAACTCATCCTCCAGGCGAAACATAGCCTGCTGCACGAGGACGTCGGCGCGTTCAAGGCACGCGCCCACAGATTTGTCTCTGGCCATGGGACTCCACTCCTTGATGACGGCAATCAACTCATCCACGGCATCTAGAAAAGCAGATGCATCGGCAGAGTCAGCCCAGATTAGGTGATCGGCAGCGATGTATTGAGAGATCTGACGGTGGAGGGAGATGATCGCCCGGTCGAGGACGGCGCAGCCACGAGGATCCTCATCGGGAAGTTTTTCAGACAATTTCTCGCGAGAAAAGCGGTGATCGAAGTTGGAGAAGATCTGCAAGATATCATCGGCGACAGTATCATCGTGGCGGCCCAAGGTCTTGGCGATGTGGCGAGCCACGGCTAACAACTTCTCTTCGCCACTCTCAGCAGCCATTGGAATTTGTTCCTTATCTCATTCCAGGTGACCTGCCATGTGTGTGTGTGAGTTCCGACTAGGGGCGTTTTATAAATTTTGAGGAAACGGGAACGAGAACGGGATTATAAACTGAGGGAGGGAGTTGATGACGATATTACGGAAAAGACCATGGAAACGCGCTTTTCTGTGGAATAAAGTGGAAAAAGGGACAAAAAGTAAAGCAACCAAGCAAGACCCGAGGACAAAAAAAAAAGTTAAAATACTAATTTGGTCCCTTAATTTTTAAATTATATTAAAATTATCTTTTAACTTAAAAAAATATTAAAATTATCTTTTAACTTTAATTTTTAATACGAAAATAATCTTTTTATTAACAAAATTGCCACATGACTCATTATTTTACTATAAAATTAATTATTTTAAAAATATTAGTGATTTATAAAATCAATTAGTCATATTTT